GAGAGAGAGAGAGAGAGAGAGAGATTGAGAGAGAGAGAGAGAGAGAGAGAGAAAGGGAGAGAGAAAGGGAGAGAGAGAGAGAGATTTTGAGAAAATCCTAAAACTGTAAGTGGAACCTGGGGAATTAAAGACATTTAGATGTTAACACAGACTACCTTTACCTTCACTGCCTAAAAGCCAGGTATGTCACGTTTTACCTCTTCCCCACAGCTCTCCAGTACCTTTAAGAGGGTTAGGGATATTTAGGCTCTCTGCAAATGGCTCCAACCATATGGAATTTGGCATCTCCCCACCAAGTGTATGGAGGTCCCTTGCACCAGAGTTCCATTTAGCCACTAAGTTAAATTACCTTTTGAAAAGAAATGTTCACATCAAAAGGTATAATCACAAATATCCAGACATGTGGCTCCAATATGAGGAACATAATCTTCATACACACACATACCTCCTTCCACTTTATACCACCTCAGACTCTAATGAAATTAAGGGGATTAGAAACATAGCTTAGCTCCATTCATATAGAGACCCATCTCAACAGACAAGCCTGGTGGTTGGTCTGCCTGTCAAAAGTTTCTTCTCACTCCAATCCACCTTCCACTCAGCTATTGAAATGACACTTCTAAAGCACAGATCAGATCATGTCACACAAGCACACCCATTCAATAAACTGCATTGACTCCCTATCACCTCCAGGATTAAATGTAAAACCCTGTGTTTGACTTTTAATGCCCTACATAATCTGCTTCTCTCTACCTTCCCAGTCTCTTTACACTTTACTTCACTCTGATCAAGTGCTGTTCCTCAAGAAGACATTCCATCTCTGGACTCCAGACACTTTGAGTGACTATCCCCCATACATAAAATACTCTCCCTTCTCATCTCCGCCTTTTGGTTTCCTTGGCTTCCTCCAAATCCTAGGGAAAACTCTACCTTTTATAGGGAGACTTTCCCAGCCCCTCTTGATTCCTATTTGTACTGCATATAGCTTATTTGTACATACCTGTGTACGGTCTGTCTCCCCGCTTAGACTGTGAGCTCCTTCAGATCAGGGATTGTCTTATACCTTCTTTTTATCCCCATCGATTAGCACAGTGCCTGGTATATAGTGAGTGTTTAATAAATGTTTATTGATTAACTGACTGTAAAAATAGGAGTGATAAGACTTGTACTACCTTACTGGTAGGGTCTCTGTCTCTGTTTCTTTCTCAGTGGGAGCCTGGCCAAAACTTTCTTGGTTGGTTTCCCCAGGAACATCTGCGATGTGGGGGTATCTGTGAAGACTTTGGAAGAATTGAACTAAACTAGGAATGTTAGATACCTTCTTTTTGTTTACATGCAGCCAAAGGGAGAGTGCTATAGAAATGTGAGCTATTACTATTATTATGTCCCTTAACACATCATAGTTATGTCAATAACTTCTGTTCCAATCCTCAGTTATATTGTAATCTTCTTGAAGATGGGGACTCCTCTGAGTGGGGATACATAACCCAGGGTTTTGCACGTAGTAGGTACTAAATGAATCAAATGTATGAATGAATGATGTGGGGCCTGGAAGAACAAAGAAGACAGGTTCTCTACCACAGCAGTCTTTCCTGCAAATGCGATAGTTTCATCCTTAAGAGGATTCAATACAAACTGCTCCCTGTTAACTATAGAAAAGACCCTCTAACACATGGCCACACCCAGGACCCAGGCACAAAGCCCTCTGGCCGGGATCATTTTCCAGAATGCTCCATGACCCTCAGCTCAATCACTCAGCCTGCTTTCACTCCCTATCAAAGATCAGGGGGATTCAAGCCTCTCAGACTATGGCAGAAGTCATTGTCTCAACCATCATCAGAAAATAAAAACCATGATTTGGCCTTTGGCATTCACACTTAGTTCCAGCTTAGCAGCCAATCAAAAGGCTTTCCTTTACCACTCAACAAGTAAACAACAGTCATAGAACACCTACACATGCTATGAAGTGAATGCTAGGTCATTTTTATTATATTAGCTCGGCCTACCCATGAGCAGTTGATATTTTTCCAAATACTTTAATATGACATTATTTGTGTGAAAAGTGTTTTGTAATTGTGTTCATATAGTTCCTGGCTTTGTCTTGGCAGGTAGACTCTCAAATATTTTATATTGTCTACAATTACCTTAAATGGAATTTCTCTTTCTATCTCTTACTGTTGGGCTTTGTTAATAATATATAAAAATGCTGATTATATTTATGGGTTTATTTTATATCCTGTAATTTTGCTAACATTATTATTTCAAGTAGTTTTTTAGTTGATTCTCTAGGATTCTCTAGGTAAACCATCATATCATCTGCAAAGAATGATAGCTTTGTTTCTTCACTGTCTGTTCTAATTCTTTCAATTTCTTTTTCTTCTCTTATTACTAAAGCTAACATTTCCAGTACAATATTGAATAACAGTGGTGATAATGGACATCCTTGTTTCACCTCTGATATTATTGGAAATGCTTCTAGCCTATTCTGAATTCCTTATATTTCTTTGTTATCACACAATGATATTCTGTTGCATTCATATGTCACAGTTTGGGAGAGGGTATTTTATGTTTACAGTTAGCAAGTAAGTATTTTCTCTTTTTGTCACTCCACCCCCAATTAAAAAAAATAGAAAAAATAAATCTCATTGAAACCTATGCATATGTATGTATGTATGTATGTATGTATGCATTCTAGCACAACCAATGTTGGCACTGGCCAAGTCCAAAAATGTATGCCTCATTCAGTATTATATATCTATCCTGTAACTGTGATGAGGTAAATAGAATGTTTTATCATAAGTCCTTTGGAAGCGTGGTTGATCATGGCATTGTTCAGAGTTCTTCAGTTTTTCAAAAGTGTTCATTTTTACAGTTTTGATGTTAGGGTATAAATTGTTTGCCTGGTTCTGCTCACTTCACTCTATATCAGTTCATAGATGTCTTCCCAGGATTCTCCAAAACCTTTCCTTTCATCATTTCTCACAACAAAATAGTATTCCAGTATTTACATACATCACAATTTGTTCAGTCATTCCCCCTAGTGATGGATACCTCTTCAACATCCAGTTGTTTGCCACTAAATCTTTGTGCAACAATTCCCTCTGTCTTTGATTTCTTTAGGATACAAGCCTAATTACTCAAAGTTTAGTGAGTTGGGGAGCGTTGTTCCAAATCACTTTCTAGAATGGCTGGACCAATTCAAAGCTCCACAAACAACGTAGTAATGTGCTTGTTTTCCCTCAACTCCTCCAGCAGTTATCATTTTCTTTTTTTACCATTCTTGACCATCAGATGACTGTCAGGTGGAAAATCAGAGTTCTTTTATTAAAATTTCTCTAGTTATTAATGATTTTGGATCATTGTTTCACATGAATGTTGACAGCTTGGATTTCTTCCACAAAAAACTAATTATCAATTGGGGAAATTGTTCTCATTCTTACAAATTTGAATCAATTCTAAATATGTCTTGAAAATAAGACTTTTATCAGGCATTGACTACCAAGATGATTTTCACCACTAAACTGTTTCCATCACAATCTTAGCAACTTTGGTTTTGTTTGTGAATAAAAAAATCTTCCATTTCATGTGATCAAAATTATTTATGTTATTTTTTATGATCTGTCCTATCCCTTGATTGATCATAAAATCCTATCTTATCCATAGATCTGAAATGAAATTTCTTCCTTGTTTCTTTTATTTGTTGTTGATATAACCTTTTATTTCTAAATCATGTATTCGTTTGGAGCTAATCTCAGATACCTGTTTTTTAGCTATTGTTCAGGTTATAGGCACCCACTTTGTTTCCAGGGTTTTTTTTTTTGCCATCACAAAAGTTGCTTCTATTAATATTTTGGAATATATTGATCTTGGAATTAATTAATCAAAGGGAATGATCAGTATAATCACTTTTCTTTTCTATTTCTAAACTGCTTTCTGGAATGGTAGGGAAAATAACAGCGCCACCAACAGTATATTAACGTACTTTTTTCCCACAGTCTCTCAAATATTGACTGTTGCCATTTTAGAAGTTAAAGTTACAAATTCTTTCCTTCTTCTTCCCTTTCACCACTCTTTCAGAAGGCAAGATAGAGAAAACCTATTTGAAATATATATAATCATGCAAGACAAATTTCCAAATTTAAAAAAAAAGGAAAGAAAACTGAGATTATCAGTTCTCTTACTGGAGGAAGATAGAAGGTTTCACCATGAATTCTTGGAATTCTCTTTGGTCATTGTGTTGATCACAATTATCAAGTCTTTCAAAGCTGATTCTCTTTATTATATTATTGTTATTGGATAAACTGTTCTCCAAGTTTTGCTCACTTCACTTTCCATCCATTTTTAAAAGCCTTACCAGGCTTTTCTGAAACATCTCCATCATCCTCTCTCATAGCACAGTAGA